AAAAACCTTTCTAAATTATTTTAAAATGTTTAGTAAATAAGGTTTCCTGAATAAAATTGTTGAAATAGAACGTAAACTGATATTTTTATAAATATTGCAAAAAAGGGCTCCAAAAAGGCATATAACCTGGCCGGCTTAGCCAGTGTGTATTTTTTCAAGCACTACAAGATTCAGAGTTTATAAAGTAAAATATAGTATATAGATATTTACAGTATATCTGTATATACACATATAGTAAAATGTGCAGTTTGTCCCGAGGGAGGAAACAAATCGTGTGTACTTTGAAGGAATTAAAGAACATTTAAAAAATATATCCTCTGGGGAAGCCTCTGGGTCCCATGGAAATTGTAATGGCAATTGACTAATTTGTACATGAGTAGTGCCTCGATGGAACGTTTGGGCTAAAGGCACTGATGGAAGAAAGATCAGGGGGTTAAAACGTCCCAATTAATCATCTGGAGATTATGATTATTCACAGCAAATGGAAATCGGGCCATTGACGTATATATTGTGCCTCAGTATGGACCAAAGTGAGGATTAATGGGAACTGTTGCTCAATGGGACTGCACATTACATTAATCATTGTTACTTCATTCTCTGGCGACACAATATAGCAGTTACTCTTTGACATTTAATAAACTTAATTCACACTTTAACATGATTTCATGGTCATCCCTCCATACATTAGGGGTTTACTGTAGGAGTAAAGGATATGGTTTCTCGTCAACAGCATATTAATATTGCCTCACAACATGATTAGTCATTAGCAGATAATCTAATCCATGTCTCTTTTTTCCTTCCAGACGGCCATGAATCTCTTCTACTTGGCTCTCATAGGACATGGCCTGTCCCTGACCTCGCTCATCGTCTCCCTGGGGATATTCTTCCATTTCAAGTGAGTCACCAAATCTATTCCTACCATGCTTTGTACGCAGATATGTCCTACTGAGTGCATGACTTTATAGCTCCATGATGTAATGTCTCCTTTCTCTTCTTGCAGGAGTTTGAGTTGCCAAAGGATCACGCTTCACAAAAACCTCTTCTTCTCTTTTGTTCTGAACTCTGTCATCACCATGATTTGGTTGACAGGAGTGGCAAACAACCAGGAGCTGGTGCAGAGGAATCCAGTAAGTTCATGTATTTATGTTTATATTTTAGCTTATAAATCATCTACTTTTTTTACATCCAAGGTTTGTACCCATTTGGTTTGAGCTGTTCCTTTTTGTGACCATTGTTTCAGTATTTAAACATACATTTATTATAGCGTCAGGAGATTCAGTTATTCATTTCATATCCGAGCCCCCAGCAGTTTCAGGATTTGTTTTTTTGTTCCAGTCAGATTTTTCTCACTGTGGCCTCCTAGAGAGAACAAGAAAAAGCATTCTCTGCAGTTAAACAAAAATACGCAAACTTCTTTGATCATTTATTTTAAACAAATATGGTTAAGTGGAATCCATATAGAACATTTTGTGTGCCCACAATTATTAATTATATATTACTCCACATGCTAAACATATTGACTGCTAATATGTGTACTACTTAAAACCATTTATGTCCTGTCCTTATGTCAAATAATTATTAGATGTTTTTGACACGTGACTATTCGTATGAGTCAAATCAATCAAAGCTACACAATTGTCTTAAAAAAATGCAGAATTTAATGTTTTTTTACAGTATCTTTTTAGTGTGAAGTGTTGATTTCTGGCAGAATATTAAATAAGACATATAGAATAAAGTGATTTAAATTAAAATATCCCTGTTTTAAGCATGCATTTTTTTTTTTCTTTTCTGTTCAAGGAACGTTGAAAAGTTGAAAATCAGTAATATAGCTATGATAAATAGTGTAATTTTGCCAAAAAAATAAGTTAAGAAATATGCTTTTCATACCCTTAGGCTTGTTTGTTTCAAAAGGTTTACTGCTCAGGGAAAAAACGGAAGCTGAGTTAAACGGCCGCTCTCATTAATTATGGGTGTGTGATTTTCCTCCTCAGACGAGCTGTAAAGTGTCCCAGTTCATTCATCTGTACCTGTTTGCCTGCAATTACTTCTGGATGCTGTGTGAGGGGATTTACCTGCACACTCTCATCGTGGTGGCAGTGTTCGCGGAGAAGCAGCACCTCATGTGGTATTATCTCCTGGGCTGGGGTAAGTCAGCATAATTAGTTGTGTCATTGATATGCGCTCACTCTGCTGGGGAAAGAGTCTGTTTTTTATTGGGTTATGTTGTAGTCAGTCTCCTATTCCGGTTTGATAGAACAGAGAAATAAGGTTTTGTTTACTTACTTATGGCTTGAAGGGCCTTTTAAGTACATGATTAGTATAACAAGTTGTCTCAGTCCAGAATGATACACTTACTTAAGTGTTATTGCAAGGTCTATTAGCCTTAACTGCAACTCTAATTCACTTTAGATGTTTTATTTTGCAGGCTTTCCTCTTATTCCAGCTACCATACATGCCGTTGCTCGGAGTTACTACTACAACGACAAGTAAGCATCCAAGTAGATGATTGATGATTTGTACTATAACAGATTATAATAATAAAGTAAAAATAGACTGAATGAATGCCACACAATATTTATTTTAAATGTTTAATTAACATGTTCCATATTGTAGTACAATGTGCACATTTTTACTTTAACTTCTTGTTTTTTATAAATATTTGTTAATAATTTCTTATCTATCTTTAATTGCACATTTTATTTGAACTTATTGTGTTTATAAATCTGTATGTTATTTTATATTGTTATTGTACATTCTTACTTTAATTTCTTATGTGTTTATAGATACTCGTTCTATTTTTACATTTTAAACGTTATTATCTATTTAATTCTTAACCCTCCTATTGTCTTCGTTTCCCCCCCCTTACTTTGGTGTTCTCGGTCAAATTTGACCGGTCCTGTTTTAACTGCTATTACATGAACCTGTTAAGCCCCAAAGACCCCTTCGGCTGGTCTTTTTTTCTTTTTTTCACGACACTGTGTCTCAGGGCATCTTAATATTTAAAAACCTATTAATGTGTTATACCAGATTAACGGGAAGAATCTCGGCTAACTGATGATACAGATGTAGCGCTTCATTTCAGACAGTTTGAAACGCGAGGGCCGTGATTGGTACGTGATCTGCCCTCGCTCAAGGGAAAACCTCCAGCTTGACTTGAGACCTCCCCCATGATAAATAGATGTAATTATAATTAAGTCAGCTGCAATGGATCATTGATCCACCCGGGCATCCAGTGGGGTTCCACACTGGAGCTCATGTGAAATAAAGTCAGATACAGTACGCTGGATGTACAGCGGAACTTTGTTAAGATCCATATGTCACGGATATCATACTACTGTGCTAAATAAGAGACATGTAATCATTTACAAAACATTACTGTTTTTTTATTTAACAAAATAATGTTGTTTAGTCGAAAAAAACGAACGGGAGGAAATGCAGCCCGGCTCTCGATTTTTAATCCTAATTTAATCATCATCTTCACCACGATTATTTTATGTTTATGTTCGCCGAATTGACATGAAATCACTGACACATATGAATATACTGTATTCAACTTCATTAAAACGTTATTAACGTGCCTAAACTCAGTAATTCACAAAAAATATTTATATTTTAATGGAGCCTCGTCGGCAGATCAGGATCCCGACGCGTAGTAATTAATGGGGGGGACACACATCTAGAGTATGNGCATGGCTAAAATGCATGATCTGTTTGGTATTTTGAAAAAAAAACTTCACGTTATATTTGAATAATATATTGTAGGGCCATACCTATATAAAACATGTCTGTGAAGTTTTTTTTTCAAAATACCAAACAGATCATGCATTTTAGCCATGCCTCGTTTTGCTCTATTTGCCCTATTCCAGCCCTGTTTTTGCAAGGGCTGATTCTGTGGCAAATGAGCTGCAGCTGACCTCGCCACCGCGTCATGTTACCACGCTGTTACCATGCCACGGCAACCCCCCATTCCCCTGATAGGTGGAGAGTTGCCCATATAGGCGGAGCGCCTTGTTTCTGTCGTCAGAGATATTTTAAATCTGGATCAGTCTGTAAATACAATAAAGCGCACTGAGGACAGTCCGCCCCGGTCGACAGTCGCACCGGGAACAGGGGGCCCCGTCCCTCCCCCGAGGGGGAGAGAGGGCGCAGCGAGCACTTTGTCCACGGCCCCGGGAAGCGGCGAGGTCCGGGCGGAGGGCGCTGTAAAGCATTGCAGCCCCTTTTTTTTTAGAGATTTGGGTACGGAGGAAAAGAGAGAGGGTTGTGTTTTCTGACACTTGGTGAGTTCCCTGACACACCGGGGACACATATTCATGTATAAAACACGTACAAAAGTGCATTTTGCATGATAGGTCCCCTTTAAATATTGAAGTTAAATGCATCAATCTGGTGCACTTTGAGAGCAAAATTAAGAGATCTGGATACACCTCTCAACACCTATATGAAACAACTGTAAACAGATTTTCTTTTTCTTTATGGATATTTTATTAATCACTCCCCTTTTAAACTGTATTCTTGTTTCACTGTCATATAGTAGGCTATTCCATAACTGTTTTTCATTTATTCTCTATAATGATCATAAAGGTGTGCCTTGGAAATAATCTTTTACATAATAATTAGTGGTGTAAAGTTCTTCAAATCTTTATTCTTCAACTTCTTATTTCAGTTCTTCCGTACATTTTTTGCCGTTGAATAACTTAAGCCTAATTTCAGCTACAGAAACCATTCAAATATCAAAAATATTCAGCCTTTTCAGCACATGATGGGAAACTTTCAACTTTTTCAAAATATGTTATACTCAGCTTTTTAAAGTCTTTTTTAACATGTAACTCAATGAGAGGAACCTTCAAATCGTCTTTTACCTACACCGTGCGCCAAATGCTACTCCTTCCACGTACTTTCAGCTAGAGACTTCATTCCAACTTTAAAACGGTCACAAGACATTCAGCTATATAACTTATTGTTCAGATTTTTGATATCATTTACACCTTTTGAGATATTTAACTTAGTTTGGAGCTTGGTAAAGAGGCCTTCTTCAGATTTTAACATTAGTGTGTATTACGCAGCTCGTTAAGTCTAGAGTGCTCTGATCTCAAAAGCAGAGTGGAGGAGTGCTTGAAATTCACCCAAAGAAATGTTTTAAACCTGCCATAGCTCCCAAACCCTACACTCCTTGGACATCATTTTTTAAGAAAAACTTAGGAAAACCTCTCCTACGTTGAAAAATATTAAGCAAAACAATTAAACAAAAATGCCTCTTGAGGGCATGAAGTGACAAAAACGTTCAACATGTCTCCATTAAGGCCCATTGTAAATTCAGCCTGATCTTTCCTCAGAGCAGCAGCTGCACACCTTTAGTTAATCTGCCAAAAATGCCACATTATTGACCCGAAAGTCCACAAAAAGCAGACTCAGACGCTCCTCACGGTCCTGACATCCTCCACGCATTGACATTACCTAAAGCAGATACCGTTTTTAAACAAAAGTTAGAAATGTAAGAGGTTTATCCCTCATTCAGAACAATAGAAAGGCTCTCCTTTCACAGCACATCTCCATGGAAACCTTTGATCTCTGGGCCCACGCACACAGGTGTTTGATAACGTCCTCACCATGGTAACCTTTGATCTCTGGGCTTACACACACACACACACAGGTGTTTGATAACATTCATTCACTACTACTTATATTTAATATCTATCTCCTTCAGCCTACTTTCAGCTACAGAAACCATTCAACTATTACATTATTCAGCTATTTCAGGACATTGAGGCTATACAGTACATGTTGTTGTTTATACCTTTTTTTAAACCTTTTCTTTTAAATATTAAGCTTCTTCACTATTTTTTTTTACTCTTCCAGTTTAACATTTCACTTTCAAGTTTTCAACAAAGTCATTGCAATGCATTTGAGCAGTAATAATTTGATTCAAATCATTTCACTTTTCTGCATTTCTCCGCTAAGTTCAACCACACACTTACTTGGTCTCTGTAACTAAAAGCAGCTACAGAGACCATTCAACTAATAACATATTCAGATTTTCAGCTAAATTCAACAACAAATGTACACAGTTTACAGCATTCGCACACATTTTCAGCAGGAAATGCATTTTCTACTTCCTGTCTACATTGCATCCCTGCATCCGCCTGTGCGCATCAAAGAGGCAGACTAATTGTTCCCACTAGGGATGAGTGTAATGAGGGGGCAAAGTTGACGTTCAGTGTGTTGCCGGGAGCATATAAGGATTCATCCACGATGTTGAAAATGTTAAAAATGTTTTAACAACAACAATAATAATAATAATTGTAACACAACAATAATAAAAGTAAATACATTGGGAAGGGGGGGGGGGCACGGCTGTTCTTATGCTCTCTGGAGGAGACTCACTTTCCAACACTTTAAAAAACCCTGATGTAGGATATAAATCCAAAGTGAGGGTAAGGATATCATCGCTTTGGCTGTTTATATTTCTGATCATCGATCTATATTTGTTATTTTCCACAACTTTATGGAAGTGCAATACTAAAGCACTGGACAACCACTGTAAGCACAAAGTGAATAGGATTTTTTAGAAGCAGTTTGTAGACACAACTTTCACAGTTACCTCCTCTTCCTTGAATCAAGGAAATCAGAAGCAATGACCTCGATAAGGGTTGGGGTGCTTTCCAGCGGGTGAAAGTTAACACCGGATACTGAACTAGCTTTCTCCGCTCGGAATATTTGCATTTTCCCATACAAAAAAAATAAAAAGTATATCGTGTTCTTTCTGGCTCTAAAGTTATATCAAAGAAGCTTGGTGTAAATGCCCCTTTAGAGCTACTGTAGGCCACATATCTTACCTGAAGGATCAAAATCCTGGAAGTAGTCGGGGCAGTGCTGCTCCGAGTTAGCCCCCGCAGTGGTGTCGTCCCAACACAGCCAGCCATCCCAGGTGCGGTTACACACAGGATCTACAACCAAGGACAAAGGGTGTAATGTGTTAAATGTGCAAGAAAATTGAAGTATATAACTAATACAAATTAGTTAAACAAATTTTACTAGCTAGCTTAGTCTGTAGGGGTCTGGCTTTGGAACAAGATGCTTGGTCGTTGCTTTGTGCATCTGTGTATTTCTGGGTAAAAGTCCTGATTGTGCATGTGCATTTTAACTTTAACTGTATATCAACAACAAAGGAAAATTGAATATCCCCTTGGGGACCAATGAACTATGTATTTTCCATCTTTAGCTGAGATGCTGCAAGGTATTAGCTTAGATTTACTGCGATCAGCGTGTTCCAACTCCACAGCTTCAGTTCAGAAACATGAAGCATACCTTCTCTTCCCTGGGGATCGTCCTTCATTATCTTCTGGTAGCACTCAAACTGTGCTGTCGCTATCTTGTTCCTGGTGACTCCCATGTCGTGGTAGACGTTGGTCGGATGCTGCTGCTGGGTTTCATTCAGCTCCAGGCTTGCCGTTACAAAAATCTGTAAAGAAGGATAGACGGGCGGAATACATCTGTTCAGTTCCTGCTTTAATCAATATCGTTCTTTTTCCAAACAGATCTTGGCGTGTGTGTAGTAATAATATTATTTTGAAATCTACAGTATGGCCACAGAGCTTCATGCCAGAAAAAGTATTTGCGTGCAAGCATATGTCTGGACTCAATTTCAGCTGTGTGTTCTGACTCTTTTGGGATGCGTTAAAGAAAGACTGTCCATGATTTCCTCCTTATAACGCCAGAAAGGGGAGGCTAACATACACAAGCTTCCATTAAATCCATTTGTGGAAAATAGGACAAGCAGACACAAACCTAAAAACAGCTTTTTACACAACATAAACTGACATAAGCAAGTCTAAATATGTCAAACCAAAGCTAATACAATGTTTGCTAAGTATATTTCACTACATCATAAATCCAATTACCCTGATGAAAAACAACACGACAGGCTGCAGTCATATGGTATTACACTATATTTTACAACACACTGTAAAAATGCTCTTCTACACATACAGGTCATTTGGTCAAAACCCTGCTTAAGGAAACACAAGGAAGTATGTACTTACTTAGGAATAAACATTAAAATAACATTTGGTGTCCAAACATGTGTCAGTGTTTTACTACTACAGTACATTCTTTGATACTTCTATATGTATTTGGTCTTTATGGTCCATGTGGTAAATGAATGAGCACAACTGCTCCAGGTAACATTGTGTTCACTCATCACTGATGGTTCAAAATATAATGTTTACTTAAAATGTTTACATGAGTCAACATGTGAAGTTATGACGATGACATCTTAGGTCCCAAGCTCCTCCAACAGTGCAACACAATAAAACTGAAAAACTAAAAAAATAGTGCAAGTAAATACAAAAGGAAAAATAGTGAAATAGTGCAGTTATAATAATAATATTTATGTAATCAGTTTTCAAAAAAAATCTCTATATTCAGTTTTGAGTACTAAGCAAAGTTTTTAATTGATAGTGGGGTTTATACAGCTAAATGTTTTTATTTAAAGATAATAACCCATATTGAAGTTAACAATACTGAACCTGTAATTACCGGACATCTTGTGGGATTTTTCAATAATAAAGTTTAAGTTCATCAGTTCAATAATAATAATAATAATAATAATGATAAATCATAAACGTGAGACGATTAGTCGACTAATCGCCTGAATTGACGACTGCTGTTAGACGAGCACATGTTTGAGTCGCGGGCAGCCCTTTAAACGACACAGTGCATTATTCACATTTGGCAGTACTTTAACTTTCTAGTCAACAAAATATCATATAACAATGTATGTACTCTTTATGTTTAAGTGAGGTGGAGACATTGAACATAGACTTTTTAAGTTTTAATGAAATGCTTTAGTTTATTTGTATTCAATGAAAATGCATATAGCTGACTTTAATGCCTGGCTTTTTGTACCTTGGCAATACAATTAAAACAATTAAAAAAGTTAATTTAGGACTTGTATCTAATTCACCAGCGCCAACACTAAGTGCAGATATATTCACTTCAGGTCAGAATTACTTTCTTGAAGTGAATATATTTGCACTTTCTGTTGTTCGGAGTAGGAATCTCTATGGTTTTTGCACTTATTGTAAATCGTGGGCAGTGGGTGAGGGAGACGGAGACGGGTGGACAGTGGGTGAGGGAGACGGGTGGACAGTGGGTGAGGGAGACGGGTGGACAGTGGGTGAGGGAGACGGGTGGACAGAGGGAGGGAGACGGGTGGGCAGTGGGTGAGGGAGACGGGTGGACAGAGGGAGGGAGTTGAGGTGGATGGAGGTATTTCTTTAACTGAGTTTTTTTGTTTATATCAAGAGGGCATAAGAAATGCCTCTGGATATAAAGTGGGAAAACCTGCGTTCCAGGAGAAACCCCAATGCAAAAATACTATAGAGAGGGTAAGGAAGAAGGGCAGATAAAAGATGGGCATGAGGTAGATGGAGGTGGGGTGAGGAAGATGAAGGAGGGTTAAGGGAGGGGAAGAGAGGTGAAGAGGGGGGATAAAAGGGAGCTACTGTTGTCGTGAACAACTAGCAGCGGCCTGCATTCTCCTTGTCTCGTCTCCTCTCTTGTTTTTTCTCCTTTCTTCTTATCTTTTTCTGCAGCCTTGCCTCTCCTGCCTGGGTCTTCTTCAAGTGGGGTAACTCCTCCTGGTCCTTCTCCTCATGCTCCCCCTTCTTCACTTTGCTTTCGCAGCCCTGGTCTTTATTGGCCAGGTTGTCCCCCACCTCTGTTACTTTCATCTTCCAGCTATTTGGTTTCCTAACTAGGTCCTTTATGGACTTTATTTCAGAAGTCCTCTCTTTTACTAATGTCCCCACCGCTGCTGCCAAGCTAAGTGTATCCTCCTGTCTGCTCTCCTGGTCCTGCAGCACGACCCGTCTTGCTCCGGTCGTCGGTAAGTAGGGGAACTCTTCCAGGTATTTCCTCTCAGCCTCCAACTCTTCGGTTCCACAGCTGTGGACTTCATTGGCCAGGTTGTCCTCCATCTCTTTCACTTCGATCATCATCGTGACTTTCATCTCAGAGCAATTTGGTTTGTCAACGAGGTCCTTTGTGGATGTCTCCTCCTGTTTTAATTCTGTCACCACTACTGTCTCCACGCTATGTTGTTTCACAGCCGAGTCCTCAGTGACCTTCTCCTCCAGTTTGAGGACTTCAGACTTCAAGTTGACTTCCTCTGCCAAGCTCTCTTGCTTCTCAGGCAGGACCTTTGTGGGCATTTCCTCCAGATGCGTCTTCTTGTCCTCAATCTTCTGGAGTTTCTCCTTCATCAGTTTGGTTAAAGAAGCCCAGCTTTCTTTTTTCTCAGCCATGTCTTTTCTGAACTTCTCTGCCAGTGACTTTTTATCTTCCTCATTCCTTTTATCGCTTGTCCCGTGTTTTGACTCAGGACACTGCTTTTTCCTCTTGCAGGACCATTTGACTCATTTCTGGTTTCTCAGCCAGGATGTTTAAAGATTCCACCTTCAGTACATTGTATTTTTTTGTGGTCACTGCAAGCTTCTGAAAGAGAAACTCCTTCTCCTTGTTCAGACGCACGATTGCAGCGTCCCTGTGGCGGATCTGATCCTGCCAGCTCTGCTCTTTTCCCACCAAGTCGACATTTTCTCTCGACAGGGTCTTGTTGGCTTCTGTCAGACCCCTGATTACAGCGTCCCTTTGTTGGATCCTTGTATTCAACATATTCTCGTGTTTAGGCCAATTCACCTCAAAGTACTTGTTTTTCTCTGCCAGGACACGTGTATGCTTGTCCAGAAGTCCATATAGGAACTCCCAGTGTTTAATTCCCCCCTCCAATGCAGTATTTCTGCTGCACAGCGTGCTTTGGGCCTCTGATAGCCTCTGAGCGGCTTCCTCCTTCTCCTGTCTGCAGCTGACCTGCTCACACACTGCTGGGATCACTATTCCAGCCATGGCACAAGTCTGTTTTAGTCTTAAATTGAGCGTAGGTAGAATAATGAAAGTGTGTTTGTGCAAGACTGTATTTCTTTGAAGAAGACGGTAAATGTTTTGAGTAGACTTTTTGTCTGTAGGGGACTGTATTGTTCCTATGATGAATGTAGGTTTCCGTCGAAGTAAGTGTATGAAGTAAATCCGTTTGACCTGCACACATGTTCGGAATGCCAATGGCTTTGATGATGACCTCATCGTGACCTCATCTGCTGATGAGGTCACGATGAGGTCATAATCAAAGCCGTCCAATTATGACATCATCAGCATATGGATGCCAATTTCATCTTCTGATGATGTCATAACCTGGCTCTTGACAAAAATGGCCATGAAAAAATAGGAAATAGCACGAGATAAGCACATTTACGTGTAATCAGATCACTCACACTGACAACACTAATACGGACAGGAAGTTCAGGAAAAGCAATGAAAGATTTTGTATTTATTTTAAATTTGAAGGATCACAGCTTTGGACCGTTTTAGAATGTATTTGAAAAAGACGACAATCGAGTTTCCGACATAAAAGGACAAAGTGGAATTTGGGCACAGATCGCTACTTATAGATGTTTTGCATAGCTGCTATTTGAGTTGTTTCGCGGCAATTGCTCTCTGGTAGGTAGTGGTGCAGCACAGTATATGCCACATGTATGTTAGATTTGACTGCTGTGGATTTTGTAAATATTTTAACTCCTTTATATACTGTTTGGTAGTTTATTGTAAAGCAATACATCATATTGTATAAGGTCTGCATATATTTGAAGCGTCTCTGTCTTGTGAGATCCACATCATTTTCAGCTTTGTGACAGGAGGCATTTTTCAACTGATCCAAGAGGCTTTTAAGTACAAGTGCATAAAATGTACACTGAAGAATAGAACTTAAGTAAATGTGAAATCACAACACTGCTAACACGAAAACAAATCCGATTTATTAATACATTCTATTTTATTGGACATTTCAAATACATTTTAATATGTTACTACATATATGTATTTTTATTTTGTTGTTTCTTTTTATAACACATTTTAACTTTATTTTTGATTCATGTTTTTATTTTTTATTTTATTTACTTCTAAAATAAGGCAACTGTCACCAAACCCGTATTTGGTGTGTTTTTCAGTGTTCTGCCTGTTTGCATACAGACTCTCCTACCTTTGTTAGATGACACAGCAGTATGAGTGCCACCACTCCGCTCCGCTCGATGCTATCCATCTTGCTTTTGGCCATTTCAAAGCGAGACGATGATTTACGAGCTGCAGATCTGGAACAGAGAACAAAAAATTAAGCAACGCCATTAAAAAGTGAAATAAAATCCCCTCATAAATGCCCTTATCTCTCCCACTGTCGATAAATGTTTCAACCGGCGGCTTTCTGAAATGTTGCTTTTGTATTTGCTATCACAGTCAATTAAGCTGGGAACAGAGTAAAAGATTATTGAAACCTTCATTCAACAGCCCATATATGACTTCATATCTGATTTGTCTATTTGTTTAATTTTCTTAATTTCAAAAACGGTGGCATCAATCCAAGTCCTTAAAGTCAAACATGTTAAAAATAGTCGTAATGGGATCGAAAAGCAGCAACTGGATCCATAAATCCTCAAACACAACACACTGTATGCATTTAACTCGCGACTTTTATAAGCTGTATAACTGCTCCTGAGTCGTACACACGTCTACCATTTTACATTTAACATAAGATGACTCCACTAGCACTGACTGTGCATTTTAAAGCAATACTTCTACCACAAAATTATCATGTTGATATCAATATCTTGCTCAGTCAATTTGAGGCACGTTAAACAACATCAAAACTAATCAGAACGACACATAGAACTCTGTACAACAGGTGTGTACAGTACTAGTAATACACAACCAAAGTCCTTTGTCTATTACTTCCCAAACACGTACATTTCCACTAAAATCTTCGTATTTAGAAAAACGTAATCAAATCAACTAGAAGCCCGCTTTTGTAAGCAACCCTTGAATGTGTAAAAAAACGTTTGAGTTTTGTTTAAGTATAGTTTGCTGTTTTTAAACATAAACAATGCCATCTACTTTAATTTGTTTAGACTTTTCTTTGATTTTGGATTCTTGGCATGGGGGAGTGCGAGAAAGAATATGTGTTCTTCAATAATTCAAGGTAACAAAGGGTCATTTTGGTGGGTGAAGTGTTCCTTTAAGAAAGTTTAAAAGTTAAATGTGCCCATAGTCTATTTGAAGTGATTAAAGAACACAGCTGACACAATAAGCAGCTGGAATCTGCCCAACTAAACAAAAAGTTCCAGTTCCCTGACAAAAGTCATGTAGGCACAGCTGACACTTAAACCCCATGCTCTCCCGCTGCTGTGAGCTTTGTGAGCCATATCTCTTTTGCAATCCATAATAAATACTCATATGGACGGCAGGTTTATAGTTAGGGCTGAGAGAAGAGCTGAACCAAGGATGACTTACTTTTAGGTACATGGCCTTCTGGAGGGGATTACGTCTCATTCAGAAGCAAAGTAAATAAGGTCTCTAACACCCGAGAGGAACTAGTTCATCACTTTTCAACATCGCACATCTAATTACATTGTGTGCAATGGAACAGAGAAACTCTGCAACAGGAAATCAGGGGGGGGCGTTCCCAAGCTGAGGGGCCTTTGACTTGAAGAGCACACATATTTGTTTTTCATCACCAATGATAGAAGAGTGGTTTTGTGCAATGAACTACATGAATCAAAAGTATGAAGGTGGAAAATGTTCAACATCCCGGGATAGTTCCTCCCCTTCAGCTCAGAGTGTAGCATTGGCTTTCCGCGGAAACAGTTCTGCCTTTATGAACTGCAGACATATACTGAGTATCTGTACTTAAATCTGGAAACATGTCCAATACGTTTTTGTAATTTCGTTTTCAAACAGATTTTTGTGTCATCCTGTTTTTACAGATGTATGGTTATATAACTTACTTACTCACTTTAATGTTACAAAATATGTGAATATTTTAACATAAGTATTTTTTTATTTGGATGATTGGTGTCATGATTATTTTCAATATCAAGCCATAATTAGTGGTGCTATTTATGTATTTAAAAAAAAAAAAGAATGTTTAAGATTTCAAAAGTGATTTCAACTGACTGTAATAATGTCAAACCAAATTAGATTTTCAAATCCCAGTGACTTAAAGAAGTCAAAGTTGGCAGGTTAGCTACAGTAGCTAGCTAGCTTATTTCTCAGATACTTGCCATTTTAAAAAGCAAGGAAATTGTACACAAAATAACTGCGATTGTACTGTGATCTTGCAGCATACAACACAACAATGTTTGACAACACTTTGGCTTGGTATCTAGAATTACTCCTTCAGTTGCAATGCCATTGTTTTTTTGTAGAAAAAAAAGGATTGATTCAGAATCTTAGAAGATATGAAGGCTTACATAAATGGATGTCCACTCCCCACAGCCCTACAAATGCTGCAGCTTCATGCAGCTACCATTTTGCTAAAAGCTTGAATACTCATTGGTTGTTTGCCAAAACTTAGTACAAAAACGAGTTCAGTCTTATAACATACTGATGAGGTAAAAGTGGCACGGCGAGGGGCTGTCAGACAGCCCATCCCTGAGGGATTTGACCCAGCAGATTGTAACAAGTGTCCCCGCAGCACTGTCTCCACGGGGGCCGGCCCCGCGCCTCCTCCAGTCTGCTCTCAGTTTAAAACTGCGTTACCCCAGGGAGAGGAGGGGCTTACTGAAAGTGGGATTGTAAAACATTATGGAGATGTGCAAATTGGAAACAGCCAGGAAAAGATCAGCTGCTCTGAAACACATGCATGAAAACACTCACATGCACACACAGACAGATACACACACAGCGCTCTGCTTTGCCAAGTTCCCCAGCTGTTTCTTGGCAAAAGCTGCATTTCATACAAAGCAGACCGATACAGTGGATATATTGTCAGGACACAGAATGTTTTCCCAATAGCTGCTTAAACGTTGCAATTAGCTAGTTATGATGTATTTCTAATCCCGTTTTCTATGGCTATTCCTAGTTTTCACATTTAAATCATTCTTAAGAAGATATTAGAAAAATAAAACAACAGACCCTCCCATCTGATGGAATCTAGTTGCCATAGTGGACATTTCCAAGAGGATATTTTTCACTTCTGCCATAAATATCTTGTTTACGATGGAAACTCAAAACATAGGTGTTGAAGAGCCAATAGAAAGCATGATCAACAGCAGGCTTGTGAATTAATCATAACATCTTAGATCGAATGCAAAGTTATAAATACCTTCTGCTCAGACAAAAGGCAAATAGCTTTCCTTTATTGCAATCAAATGAAACTGGCTATTACCGAGAAAGGTTTCAGTTGTATGTTTCTAAAACCAACCCTTTAGCCTGCTGTCATACAGTAATGCAATCCTTTGTGATAACCAATCATCAGGAAGATCTGCGTAGAGTGATAAAAGTAAAACAATGACCGGTGGCAACATCCAGGGTCAGCCTGACTGATCTGCTCAAAGAAATTGGCTTCTTAATCTTTGTTCTGAAGTGACATGACCAACGTTGTCCTAAAAAATATATTATTTTCAAATATAATTGCTTTAAGTGGCTGCACAAAAACGCAGGGCCGCTCAGATTAAAGAGAGGTTTTCTCAACACGTAATCATGCGACACCATGCGCAAATGTCAGAAAAAATGTGGACACAGGCCCTTAATGTTGCAGCAACATGACCTTGGCCACTGGAGCATAACTCCAAATCCAGCTGAGAGACGTATAATCTTGCTATAACATTGCTTTTGTGTATGTGCTAGCAAACAGTTGCCTACAGTAACATAGTTATCTCATTGCAGCTCTTCCCCTGGCAACCACACGTAATTGTAGTTCAACAGTAAAATACTTTTATCTCTGATATGGTCTTCATGAGCTAAGGTGTTCAGATGCGTTTGTTGTGACTATTTAGCATGTTCAGAATAAGTGTGTCTATTTTTAACAAGAATTATTGCTCTGTATGCCTCTGTCAACTAGTCCTGTTGACGTTTTATTCAATGCCTATAACAAATCCCTCTATTATTTCACGCTATAAAATGTGTGAAATGTTTATATTAGAACAATTATTCTTGATGTTATGCCAAAAACATGTTTAGTGTAGTCAAAGTGACATTTTACTAACAATTCTAATCAGTTTAAGTTCAAGTGCCTTAGTTCAAGTTGTGGTTTGTGCCAAATAGGAAGAAATTACATCCAGGCATTCCTAAGACATTGACTCACAAGAAATGGAAAGACTTAAGGTCACAACAACCTTTGACTGTTGACTACCAGCAATCCCCCAAACAACCACATAAGTAAGTAACACTTTGCTAATTTCAGCTCTAAGCTAAGAGATCCAGCTCTACAGAGGAACAATACTTGATTATTGATCTGTTTGGGTCAACTTCATCCAACCACAAACCAGTGTGAGCTGTGGGTGGTCCACTATTATCTGTAGTACCTCAGAGAACTCCGCAGAAGTGGTTAGTCATCTACACTTTGCACAAGAGCTGACATCACCTATTACATCCGCTAGAACGTACAAAGTTACCTGGAAAAAACATTCTGCATAACAGCTGTTGTCTTCTCGCTCGGAGCTCAGCCTGTACTTAACTCCCACTGTCCCTGCAGTGCTGTAAACATCCTTTTGCCCTCACAGGATGTTCGCCGCCCCATACTCCAAGTTCCGCTCAGTGGCATTCGGATGTCCATTAGGCTGGTGAAGGCCAATAACATCATTACTACCCCATTTTAAAGCAGGATACAGGCTTAACTAGAGAAGGGAGTAGCCATGAGAACACATGACGCACTAACAATCAATCAGGGAATTGTGTGCTGTTAAAATGATTACGGTATGGCAAATAAGGCAATCTAAATGATTGAATTTGATGTAATACATACAGTATAAGATAAATTAATTCTTAATTTAAGGAGGAATTGAACATGTGAAATGCTCCATTATCCTGTAGTGTAATCTTGAGTTTGAGGTAAATACTTTCAGTTGGTGTTAAAACATGTTAATAGATCCATAATCCTGTAAAAGTGGTACTTTTAAATTCCATAAAGAGAGCAAAAATGAACACAAACAAAAGAATCACACTCTAAAGTGAGTTATTCGTTCAAATCTGTAGCTCAATATTCCTTTTAATGAAAAGCAAAAACAAAGTAAACTGATCCTGCATGCTCTTTAATGCATCAAGCAGCATCTGGCGTTAAAGGCAAAAATAAACACTGTACTGTAGCACTGCAATGCTTGCTTGATCCTGTTGTTGGTCTTTGAAAACC